GATTAATATACTCCTAGCGCTATAACACTTACTTAATAAGTTACTTATAGTTATAATAAGGTAGTTACTAAATAAGCTAGTCTTTAGATTTTACCTATAAATAGTACTAGAACACGTTAGTACTAAGAGACTACTAATAAAGTCCCTAGACGTACTACACTAGACTTACTAATCTAAAGCTCTAGCTTTAATTAATATAGTAAGATTAATATAAAAGGAGTAATATAACTATTACTATTACCTTATAGACTTTACTATTAGTAATAAGGTATTCCTCTAACTTAGTAAAGGCTACTTACTACCTAGTAAGCCTAAGAAAAAGTAGTCTCTCTAACGTATAGGCCCTTTCTAGATTACCTATATAGTTAGGCCTAGTGCTTATAAACTTAACTTACTACTATAATAAAGAGTACACCTAGTAGTATTAACTATATAGCTATAAAAAGCACCTATAGGTAAAGATCCTTTTAGTAAGGAGTAGTAACTACTAGAACTAGTAAAAGTTAATAGTATAAAAAAGTATAAAGTTAAATAAGTTATAAGATAAAGAATTAACTAAAGAAAGAATTAGCTATTAGTTAAGTATCTTATTAAGTAGAAGAAGTACTTACTAGTAGATAATATATAAAAGCCTTATAAGAATCTTATACTAAACGCTAGTAACCTAGTAAAGGAATATAAGAAGGGTAACCCTATTAACTAAAGTTTAGAATATATAAAGAAATAAGGCTAGAAACTAGCCCTAGAGGAATTCCTTTAGAACCCCCTACTAATAATACCTAAATTATTATAATTCTTCCTAATAATATAAGGTAATACTTAGCTTTATACTATTATTTTTAATAACACCTTTATTTTCTAATCTTCCTTTTAATAAAAAAAATAACACCTTTAATATACTAACACTCTTTTTTTATTAAATTATATAATAGCGTAGTAAAAAAAGACCTAAATAACTATATATTATTAATAGTTAAAAGAAATAGAAGGAGTAACTATCTAAAATAAGTAACTATACTTACCTTACTTATACCTATAGTTAATAGCTAGAGGATATTTTAACCTACCTACTTATAACTACTATTTTTTTATTTTTTAACTTATTTAACTTATTACTTTTCTTTATAATCTACTACTACTTTTTATATTATAATTTACCTCTACTTTTTATAACGCTAGTAGTAGTTAAAGCTAATTATAAGTATAATATATAATCTTATAATTACACTATTAAGAAAACCTAAAGCTTTATAAGTAATTTTAACCTATATAAAGATATCCTTAACTAAGACACCTTTAACTTTAATAAATTTATTAATAAGGACGTTAATAATAATAAGATATCTAAGCACGTTAACTACCTTACTTAGGCTAGTGCTACTAGTAGTTAGCAGCTTATAGAGGAGTATAGTAATAGTGCTATAAGACCTAGCTTTACCCCTATTAATCCCTTAGCCTAAGGTAATAACTAACTAGACACTAGTATAAGTAGTATAAGTAAGGAAGGCTAAAATAATAAGGCTACTATAAAGGACCCTAACTATAGTAATAATAACACTAGTAATATAGATCTTAACCTTAACTTTAATAATAATAAAGTAAGTAGTAGGAACTTTAAGGTGTCTAAAGTCCTAACTAAAGAAATTAAACTTTTAGATAGTATTTATAATAAGACTAAGAAGGCTAATAAATATATTTAGTAATAAAAAATAGTTAAGTAATAAAAGAAGTATAATAAGCTTTATAAATATATTAAGTAATACCTTAATACACTTAATTAAGATAGTATGCTATTAACTAAATAAAGTGCTATTAAGAAGGCTAGAAATAAAATAGTAAAAAAGGTTACTATAGTAACTAAAGTAAAAGTACCTACTACCTTATATAAGAATATATCTACTACTAAAGAGTTAATAATCTTTATTAAAGAAGAGGTAATTATACGCCTTAATAAAGCCTTTTATAGTAGTAGTAACTAAATACTATATAAAGAAACTAAGGTCTAGGTCTAGCGCTTTTATATAAGCTAATAAAGCTTTAATACTAAATAGTTATATACCTTTTTAACTTTAAATAAGTACTTCTAATAGTAAATTATAGCCCCTATAGACGTTATCCTTACTAATTATAAGGAGGGTAAACTATAGTCTAAAGAACTTCTTAGTTATATAGTACTAATTAGCTTTATATTCTTATACTAACCTAAGTAAAGTAATTCTAAGGTTATAAGTACCCTCTTACTTATCTAGCGCTTAGACTATATCTTTATACTAGAAATTTAGTACACTTACTATATAGAGGGCTAATTACACCTAATTAACTAGCTAGAAGACTAGGTTACTAACCTTACTACTAAAGTTAATAAGTACACTAAGTTAATTTATAAGAACGTAAAGAATACTACTACTTTAGTAATAGCTATTAATAAGGCTAAAGTAGCTATAGTAGTATAAGGTAATATTAATAAGGCTATTAGAAAAAGCTTATACACTAGGGCTAAGAAGATTTACTAGTAGGCAGCTTAAATTAATAATATTAAGAAATAGATTAATACTATTAAAAATAAGGTTAAGAACCTTAACTATAAGGTAGATAATCTTAACGCCCTTAATAAGTTTAAGGCTAAAGATTTTAAATAGTTATAAGATTAGGTTACCTTACTTATAAAGACACTTTACCTCTAGTAAGAGATATATACTACTACCTAAAGTGTTATTAGTAATATAAGCTTAGGTAGTAGAAGTAATAAGTAACCCTACCTAGTAAAAGAACTTAGTAGCCCTATAGGCCTATAAGGAAAAAAGCGCTAGGCTAGGGCTATTAACCTAAGTAATAATAATAATAAGTAAATAGTAAGGTTAGAATATAAATAAATAACCCTAAGGTATAAGGCTATAATATAGGGGAGATAAGAAATAGTAAATATTACTTTCTTAATTAGCTCTTAAAGTATTTAGTAAAAGAAGATAAGGTTTTTTTTAAGGGGGGGCACTTATTATAAGATAAGGTAGTAAGTGCCTATAGTTAGAGATAAATAAATAGTAAGGACTAAATACTTAATATATATATAATACGTTATATATACCCTAAGTATATATCCCTTTAGTAAGTAACTTTTTATAAAAAGAAGGTTAACTATAAATACACTTACTATCTATTACTTATCTTATTTTATGTTATTTATTTAGCTCTTTATTATTATTTCTCTTACTTTACTACTTTACTATTACACTTTACCTTTATACTATGTTACTTTATAATACTACTATAGCCTAGCTTTATCCTATTAGAACTATAACAGCTACTAGGAAGGCTATATCACTAAGTACTACTGTTATTAAGCTAGGATTAAGAGGGCTAGGATTATAAGGACGTAAGGCTTTAATAAGATTACATAAAGGAGGTACATAAGCAGGAGGTAGAGGCTAAGAAGAAGAACAAGAAGAAAAGCTAACGCTAATTTACTATAAAGGTAGTTATATAAGGGCTAATCTTAAGGATAATTTCTCCTTAAGAGGACTTATAAAGAAGAAATTAGGGGACAATTAGAGTAAGGTAAGGTAATTAGCCTAAAGTAAGGTAGTATATAGGCTAATTAGAAGATCTTAATCCTAATTAAGTATAGAGATATAAGCTAGCGTTAATAGATTTAAAGATAGATATATAGAATTTATCCTTTATACTTATACTTACCTTCTAATTAAACTAAAGCCTCTTTATAATTTACTTTTAATTATAATAACATAAGATAATTAGAAGTAATTACGTACCTAATTAGGGTATAATTATACTTAATCCTATAGTTTAATACTTATATTTAATATTAATTCTAGATAAATTAAGATAATTTATATACTAATTAGTAAGGAATTTTATATTACTTTTAGTAGTTATAGTGTTCTATATAGTTACTACACTATAAGAGTCCCTTATACCTTATACGCTTTTATTACTAATAACTATACCTTACTTAAAGAAGAAGAGAAAGTAAGAAAAATAGTATAGTTATTAATAAGTATTTAAAGAATAAAAAAAAGTAAGTAAATTAAGGTAATATAAGTAACCTTTACCTTTTTTATCTTACTTAAAGAATAAAAAGAGGTATACTTACTAAAGGTAACACTTAGCTACTAATTATCTAGTTAAGAGAAGAAGTTATAACTACTATAGGCTACGCCTAGCTAATAATATAATATTAGAAGTGTATAAAGGTAAGATTAGTAAAAGCTATTTACTTATAAATACTATATTAAAAGTAGATTACTTAGGTAGTTCTTACTTAACTACTTTATAGCTAGTCCTACTAGTAAGATCTTATTTAGATAAGAACTTATAAAAGTCTATTTACTTATAATCTTATATAGGCTATTACTACTATAATAAGATAAAAACTTAGTAAGATAAAAATCTTAATAATTAGAAGAAAAAAAGGTTAAAAAATAAAAAGAAAAAGAACTTAAAAAAACTTAGGTATAAAAAAAAATTATACTAAATACTATAAAGGTTATTAGTAAGTAGGTATTATATAAAAGAAAAGACTTTTCTAAAAGTAATAAAGTTAATAGTAGTAATAGTAGTTATTATATAGTAGATATAAGGCTTAAAAGGTTATTTACTAGGTATTATAAGATCCTAGGTACTAATAATCTTTAGGCTAGGTAGCACTTTAATACTTTAATCTAAGCTACTATAGTAAGTAAAGTATTATAGCCTCTTCTAATAATCCTTACTAATCTATAGTAGTAGTAACTATAAAGTTAACTACTAATTAGTATTAGTATTATAAGGATTATAATTAAGGTAGCTGTAATAGTATTAATTAACTATTAGTAGCTAGGTGAAGATAATAATTAAGGAAAAGAGAAGAGGTTGCTGCTGTAGGTATTTATAGTAGTGTAAGTGAGCCGCCAGGATGAGTCACGTGATGGTAAATCACGTGACCATGGATTGGCTCCACCATTGAACAGTTGAATATCCCGACAGTTAGGCTCTGCGTCGGACTACACCGCCGGCTTGGACGGCGCCCGAACGGCCTCTGGGTGCAGGTGGCCGATGTCGACGAGTAGCTGGTAGCGGCGCTTCACCAGTGAGACAAGCGCGTCGCGGTCATAGCCGAAAACCTCAGGCAGCTCACTAGCAGACTTCTTCTTGCGATAGAACATGGCTGTGTGTATACGTGTGAGAGGAACGACAATTGAAGGGAAACACAGATCATCGATAATACTAGGTTCAAGTGAGTTCCGTAAACCACACACCTCATCGCTTTTCTCGGCGTTGTGGATGTGGGGTGAGCTTATTATTCCTGGGATAAGGAGGGGGGTCTGGGTCGATGATTGCCAAGAGCAAACGGCTTGCTGCCTGCTCCAAATCTCTCCTGGATGGATAAACAAGGGTACATTTTGCCCATGATATATTCAGATAAGGCGCCAAATCTCGAGGATTGGTGTCTGGATGACAGAGAACAAGTATCGAGATAGCTGGGATCAACATTTATCATGTATTCGTTGCACCTAAATAACGCGCATCAGTATATTCAATGGTGTGTTTTCAAAAGCGACTAAGCAACCATCAAGTGCTGCTTATTAAACCTGGTCCAGTTTATCAAACTCTTTACATTTATTGTGATTGTTGGAACATCAACGTTAGCTGACCGTACGACATCCCATGATTCAGCAAATAATAAGGGACAAAGGTCACCAGATCCGATACTCAAACCTCGAGCATGAATCATTATACGAGCGGACTACAGTCACTGTCTTTTGGTTACATACTCAGGCCAGGTCAGAGATGCTCGATGCCGTGAGCTGCTAAGCCCGTGACTTGTTGTTCCTCCCATACAGCATCAGACATACCTCACCCTCCTCTTGCTTAGTCTCGCAAATATGTCTAATAATCATCCTGGGAAGGAGCAGCGCTTGCTAAGTACACCAGCGCTTCATTCAGAGCAACTAACCTAACTTTAGCCTTAAAGTTAGTTAGTTAACTTAAAGCTATTTCTATAGTTAGTTGGTTAGTTAAATGCTATATTTCTATAATAGTTAACTAAGTTAGTTGTTTTTAGTTTAATTATTAAATTATAGGGATTATAATAGTTAGTTAATTAATCTTGTTATGTGTAATAATCTATTAAGAAATCCTATAAAAATAGGGAAATCCCCCTATTTCTTAGTTAGGAAATCCTAAGCTAAACCTAGTAATATTATTAGTAAAATTACTATTAAAGTAAGGTAGTTTTACTACTTATTCCCTAGTAATTTACTATAAGGTAACTATATTTTTACTAGTAAACTTATATATAGTCTTATTATAGTAGTAATACTACGTTAGTTAGACATATAACTGTATTTCCTATTATAAGAATTTAAAGGTAAAGAGGAAAGGAATCTACACTAGGGGGCTAGTAGTCTAGCTAGTTATTATATAGCTGTCTGTTCTGTTTGTAAATTACCTAATAGTTCCTATAACTAGGGGTTCTAGTTCCCTTGCCCTTTAGTAAATCCTTTAGTGCTATAAGGCTTACTAGCTACTAGGGTATAGGTGCACTAACTACTAAGGCGTAAGGCCTTAGCTACTAAGGCGTAAGGTATAGACTACTATAGCTATAGCACACTTACTACTAAGGTATAGGCGTACTAGCTACTAAACTATACTATATCCTAATTCCTATTTATATATCCTCTATATAACCCTTCTAGCTATAATATTACCTCCCCTTTTAGAAGCTATATTATTTATAATATATATTTAAGCTTAAGTTCCTAGAGCGTATAAGGTTAGGTAAGGTTTTAGTAGCTATAAGTTAATTTTTTTATTTTCCTATATAAATCCTTTTTTTAGAAAATATTTTTTTAAACTAAAACCTAGTGTAGTAAGGTAAGGGCTTAAAAAGTGTTAGTAGGTTTATAAAAGGGTAAAGTAATTAGTGTAGTATACTAGCACTATATTTATAGTAATTATATATAGTAGCCTAGATACTACTTAGGTGCTAGTAGCTTTTCTAATTAATATCTTTTTAGGTTCTTTAGGGCGTTATTATAAGGCTACGCTAGTAATTTAGTGTTTATAGCTATATCTTTAAGCTATAAGTATAAGTTTTAAGGTAGGCTATTAGTACTAAGGTGTTTATTATAAAACTCCTTTAGTGCTATTAGTAAATAGTAAAAGCTTTTAGTATTATACTAAGTAAGGTCTTTATTATAGCTAACTTAATTTATATAGTATTATAGTCTTTTATAGTTAATCCTAGACTATAATAAGTATACTACTTTATATTTTAGTTCTTTATTACTAGTTATAATTAGTAGTAAGAGGTCTTAGTGTTAGCCTAGAAGTAGGTCTACTAAGGCCTTCTAAAGCTTACTAAAAAAAATCTTAAGTAGGTGTTAATACCTTTAGGGAGCTAAAAGTACTAGGTACCCCCTAAGCTAGTACTAATTACAGGCTAAGGACCTAACTAAGGGTTCTAGAGCTTATTAAGGTTATCCTTTTTCTAATAAGAAGTATTAATAAAAACGTTATTCCCTACTTAAATATTATCTAGCCTTTAACGTTTATTTATATATTCTTATTAGCGTTCTTAGGTAATTTCTATATTCTTTTAGGTAATCTTTTAGCACTTATAAATATATTTAGCTATTCTTTAGGCCTTAGTTTAGTTAATTTTTTCTTAAGTGCTATTAAACTTTACTATTCTATAGTCCTAATTAAAACTAAGTTATAGTATATAGCTAAATTTAACTTTAAATAGTAATAGACTAGTGCTCTTACTAAGGAGTATAGTATAAGTAAAATCTACTATAAGGAGTATTTTACTTTAGTTATTTTAGTAGTAATTTACTAATAGGTATAGCTACTAAATAATATACTAGTTAAGGATCTTTATTTAACTATCTATTTATAAGTAGTTAGTAATAAAAAGTTAAATCTCAACACTATAAATTTATATTAGCTTATTTTAAAATTTAGAAATAAATTAAGGGCTATAGTTAGAGGTAATTATCTCTAGAAAATTAAAGAAAAGTAGTAGACGTTTATAAAAGAGGTAGAATATATTTCTTACTATAGTAGTCTTATAATAAGGCGTTAATACTACCTACTTTCTTAAGTAGTTTACTATAACTTATATATTATTATATCCTTTTTTATCCTTTAGGTAGGCTATAAAATCTATATAAATATATTACTATAAGTAGTATAAAGTAAGTAATAGCCTTAGGTTTTTTAAAGGCTTATTATATATATTATATATATAGTAATATATATAGTAGTTATATATATATTACTTAATATTTATAGTTATTTTTAGCTAGTAATATTATTTCTAATAATCTTATTTATTTAATTCCTTTTAAGGTATATAAGTAACTTTTAGTTATAGGCTTTTTAAATTATATAAGTATATAGGTTATTTTTAAAAAGTACTACTAAATATTTATTTATAGTTAATAGGCTATTATTAGTTAGTTTTTATTACTTTTACTTTTATTAAGCTAGATTTTAAGAAGCTAATAAAAAGGGTGTAGTAGCCTCTTAATTTAGTTATAAGATTTATTTTACTAGTAGGGACCTTTAGAGGTTATCTTTAGGTATTAGTATACTTATTATAATTACTTTAAGGGTAGTTCTTTTAGTTATAGTAATAGCCTTTAATAACTACTATAACTATATAGTAATTTCTAGTGTAAGTACTAAAAAAAGTAGAAGTACTTATATATAACTAGCTTCTTTTAAAGCCTTTTATATAGTAAAATCTTTTTTTTTTAAAGAAGGCGTCTACTAAGACGTTTTTTTTTAAGTTAATAACTAATTTAAAAATTAAAGTCTACTATTAATCTTAACTATTAAGCTTAATAACTATTTAGTAGACGTTTTATTATAAAATATAAAAGTAGCTAATAGTTAGTAATAACTTTAAAATACTATTAGTAGCTAGTAAGCTTAGCTTATTATTTTTATAGTATAAAATAATAATAAGAAGTTCTTTATTATAAATAGTATAGTTTATTTTTACGCTACTTATAGTCTTAAAGTAAAAAGTAACTAGGTGCTAAATACTATTTTCTTACTATTAGAGTATTATACTAGTATATATAAAGTCTAAGGTATTAGTCTTAATATAAGTTAAAAGTTTAGGCTTAAAATAATAAAGCACTAAGGTAGTAGTAAAAGACTTCTTTAGGGAAGTAAAAGCCTTTTTATAGTTATTAGTCTATAAGAATAAGTAGTCCTTAGTAGTAAGTTAGGTTAAGAGGCAGGCTATATAACTATACTTAGTAATAAACTAGTAGTAAAAATTATAAAACCTTAGAAAAAATTAAACTCCTTTAATAGTTATTAGAGGCTTTTAATTTTTAATTATAGTAATCTTCTTAAAGTTAAAATAAATACTATTAGTAAAAATAATAAACTTAAAGTACTTAATAGTAGTTACTTTAAATTTATACTTCTTAATATCTACTTATAGCCTAGCTTTATAAAGCTAAGTAAAGATTTTTTTAATATACTTTTAGTACTATAAAGGGTCTTTAAAGAAAATTAAGATATTATCTAAATAAGTAGTATAAAAGTTATTAAGATACTTTATTAAGATATTATTTATATATTACTAAAAAGTAGCTAGGCTAATATATAAGCTAAATAGTAATACCTTATACTTATATATACTATAGTAAGTATAAAAGGTTATTAAATCTTTAAAGTTAAGGTGTATTTAGATTTTATTAAAGGCTTAGTAAATATTAATCTTAATAAAAATCTTTACTTACTTAATATATACTAAAGTTTTATTAATTAATAAAAGAGAATAGTAGTCTTTTTTTATAAGTTTATTAAGCTTTTAAAAATCTATATAGAATTATAAACTACTATTATATTTTTAAATAAATAGTATAAGAGTAGCTTAAGGTATATTTCTTAGCTTAAGCTAACCTTTTTATAAGTTCTTTAAGAGGTACTCTCTTATAGCTTCTAGCTCCTCTAAGGATTATTTATATAATAAGTAATAAATAAGCTTCTTTTTTTCTCCCTTTATAAGCTTAATCTTATAGTTATAAAAGTAATAAAAAGTAAGCTAGTTACTTATTACTTTACTAAAAATATCCTTATAAGTATAAAGTAAAATAAAAAGGTTAGTTTTAACTAAATTATATATAGCCTAGTTATT